AAGCTTCATTCCAACTGAAAAAAAAAAAATCAAAGGGCCTAGATGGCTTGAACTTCAGGAAAAACTTCAAACTTTAAATAAAAACTAACCTCAAGCCTTTGTGTGAGAGCAGACAGTTAGGAGGCTTTAAAGCTCTTGGATTAAAGCTAATTTGACACCACTCTTGGCATGATAGTGCCATGGTTGTGCTTTCTTGAGATGAGAAATAAAACTTCCTGTTCTGAGCATCAAGAGCAGTTCAGTGTGGTGTTGTCAGTCACAGTGGCTGAGCCAGGATCATTTTCAGCTTCCTGAGGTCCTGGGCAAAAACAGTCCAGCAAACCTATCCTGACAGTGGATGTGGAAAGGGGCTCCACCAACATCCCTCCTGCCCAGGCTGGGGGAGTTCTGGTGCTTGAACTTACACTGACTGAGATCCCTTTATAGCTGAAGGGGTAGTCCTTCAGCAAGTATGCTTGAGAGGAAGGAAAAACTGTAGCTTCGTTAAGGTAGCAGCTATTGTTCTGTTTAATTGGCTTCTGCCAATACTGTGTGATTGGAAGGTGTTAACAGGTGGTGAGAACTGCTTTTTAATTCCTTTCTTACTCAAACAAGAAGTTTCAGGAATCACTTCACAATTTTTATTTTTCTAGCAGAACTGCTCTTCCCTGCTATTTCCAGGATAACCAGTACTTTTAGTCTTGCCTGCTTTTAAAATCTGATTGGAAGAAGAGAAGATAAGACTGCTCCAAGTTGTATGGTGGGAGGGTGAAGGAGATCACAAGCTGGAGAAATCATTAGCTGGAGATAGGTCAAACAGCCTCCTCCTTTAGGGAGTGCCTCTGGCAACTAAATGGCCTTGGTACAGGTGGAGCTCTGTCTGGGAAAGCAGAGTGTAAAGTCATAATGTGCCTTATGATGAGTCTTAAGCGGCTGTCTGTAATGTTAATTAACTGGGTAATTAGAGGATTAATATAGATGACACCTTTTGAGTACACGAGGCAGGGTGCTCTGGCACTGCTTTTAACTGTGTGTGCTAGCCAAGATCTGAACACCTTCCTGGCTGCTTCTAGAGTCTTCCCATGCCTCAGTAAGGTAGACAAAAATATTTACCTAGAGAGCTTAGATACCTGTGTGGAGGCTGAAGGGGCTAGGAGAGGAGAGTCCATGCCAAGCTGTTCCCTGCTGCCCTCCATGGGGTTGCTGAACCATCCCAAAGCAGCAGGGAGCTCTGGGTATATCTCTGGGGATCAGGGAGATTCCCATGCAGGGACCATCCCTTCTGGTGCAGAGCTGGATCTTGCTGCAATGGACCTGCTGCTTAGTGTAGGGTGCAGGCAGTGATAAGTGGACATGGGTGAGGAGAGAAATGAACTTAAGTCCCTCATCCACTCTGGGAAGTCTTCTGTGCCTTAAGGCTTGCTATTGGGGTCCCTAGCAGGAGGGGAAGGGCATGAGCAGCAGTGGGATGCAAGTTGTCTGTGAAGCACTGGCACAGGGTGAAAGCTAGGCAATGGGGAGGCTTCTTCCTCTGGTTCATTGTCACCCTCTTCCTAGCCCGTTCTCCTTCTCCACCAGGGTCTTAGTGGCTTTCATGGCTCTTCTGTTCTGCAATTTTCTCTCTTGCAGAAGTGTACTTTTTTCCTTCTGCCTTCATAGGTGGATTTCTGGCTTTTTTTTCTCCTAGGCTTCTACTTTCTTTAGTTGAGTCTCTAACTCTTCTCCTTTACTTTCTTTTGAGTAATTGCATGTGACTTCTTGTCTCAGCACCCTCTTTAGCTTCACTTCATAGTGCCTGGTTATACAGCTGAACTAAAGGTGTTGTGGGTTGCTGTAGACATTAGCTTAGACTCCTGCAGATAAAGGAAAGCTGCTCTGTCCAGGAGGGTGCCATGGGCTGTGAATGAAGAAGCTGAGGAAAACCAGCCCTGAGGCTAGCCAGCACCTGTCAGTTGAGGCTGTTGTACAGTGCTGCTAATGAACCTAGATTTTCAGAAAGAAACATAATGCTAAGCATCAGCACACTTTGTCCCCAGTGCCATCGCCCTTTCCTCTGGAAGTGGTGTGTGCTGCCCTGCTATATGTGCCCTCTCTGCGGCTTTGGAAGCAAAGCCGAGCAACAGCACCTAACAAAGAGCTGTTCCAAATGAACATCTATGCTTGCCTGTATTTGAACTTTCTAAAGGCTCTCCTTGCTCTCTGGATCTTTGAGGACAGCACCAGCCTCAAAAGAGCAAACTTGCTGCTTTGCCAGAGCTAAAGAAGTTCTTTAAAATCTTGGAGGTAACAATTCCTTTCTTAACCAGCTATGCTCACCTGAAACATTAAATGTGTGGCAGTTGCTATACTACAACACAGGTGTTCATTGAAATATCTAAAAACAATTGTCATAGTGATGCTTTTATTAAATTTCTTATACTTGTATTACAATGCATCCTGGAGTAGAGAACTATACAGTATGTTACATGTTATAAATATATTTATTTCTGAAAATACATGAATATATTTCATATAATGCTGTAATAAAAAAAGAGTGCTAGCTGATTGTAGTTTAAAAAAAAAAAAAAAAAACAAAAACCAAAACCTATAATGTTGAATGGAGGTGGTGGTGGGAAATACCAGTTCATGATGCTACAACTTAAAACACTTTAAATTCAGTTTGCACTGATTCACATTCCTTACAGTCCCTGTAAAGCTGGAGGGTATAAGGTAATGCAGGATTTTAGTCCCCTGTATTTATGGAGATATACAGACTATTCACAGAATAATTAAGTTATAACTTTCTAGCTTTGAAGCTAGCAAGATATACAGTGAATAACCAAGTCCTGCAGTAGCTACAACTCATTATACACAGCACCTACTTTAGGCTGCTAACTTTGAGTCAGCACAGGCCATGTTTTTTTTAACTGGGGTTGTGGGTTTGACTTTTTTTTTTGGAGGTGCTAAGTACAGATAGTAACAACCCTTCTGAGTACTTGGAGAACCAGGCCTGGGCTGCTGCCTTCACTCACCCCTGCAAACTACAGCTGCCCTGGGAGTGTGGTTGGGGTGCTTTGAATCTCAGAAGAGATCCTGCTCTGGTTTTTGAGGACTCCAAGTGCTCCAGCTGATCTGGGTGAGGAGGGAAGAAGCATCTGTTACCGAAAGGCTTGGTTATGTGAAATTCCTGCCAGCTTCTCAAATCTTGGTTCCCAGGCAAGGTTGGGGAGGGATTTTTAAACAGCAATTGCCTGACTTGCAATTATATTGTAATTTAGGGGGTAGAATAATCTTTTAACAAGAGGTGAAGTTGGTTTATTTAAATCTTTACTCCATGTGCATTAATTGTGCTAGTACCACTAAGAGCTGGTGTGCAGACTACTGCAACCACAGGACCTTCAGAAGCATGTCACTGCCTGTCCCTTGAGTCTGGAATCAGTGGACATGTAGCAATAAGGCAGCCACTAAACATGGCCATAGTGTTACACAGTTGTTAATGTGGCCCAAAAGAGAAGCATCTTATAAAGGATGTACATATTTGCATAACTCTTCCTTGCAGTTCTGCTCTCCCTCTTGCCTTTTCCCAGCAGAGACAGCACAGGCTGAGCCGTACAGCAGCATGCCTATCCCACCTTACAGCCTCAGGCTCCCACCTGCACAGCCAGAGAACTTAACTTGTAACTTAAAAGTAGGAATTTAAGCCTGGTTCCCCCTCAAAAGTTTGATAGCACAAGAGCTGAGCTGCCTGGTGAAGCTGAGGTGTTGCCTTGGATGCACCCTCCAGTCTCTCAAAAAGCTGATTCCTGCAGTGCCCCTCGCTCTGGTCTCTGCAGTGAACCTGCATGATCCCACCTTCTCTGTAGCGTAGCACTGGAGTCGAGGGGCCTCTGCAGGAGCAGGCCCACAGGATTAGAAAGTAGTGGTGGATTCAGGAATGGCCTTATAGGAAGTCTTGGTTTTCCTGTTTGATGCCAGTAAAATGGCACAGCTGGCCAGATGCTGCTCTGAAGGGAGGAGCTGTGTTGGGGACAAGCAGAGACTGCAACTCGGTCCCCCCAAAGGGAGGAGGCTGTCCTTCCAACAGCCGCTTCTGCACCAGGCAGAGTCCTTGGCACTCTTCTAGATGCTGCTGTGTCCCATAAAGCTTAAGTTTATTTCATCTGGAGAAGATCTCCAAAAAGCAATGATAATTTAAAAGCTTCAGTGTTTCGGGTAATTCTGTTCCTAACCCAGACAGGAGGAAGAATTTCCAAACTTTACTTAAAAGTCTCTGTTTCTGTTGCCAAGATGCTAGCAGCAATTTTCATCTGTGGCTTGACTTTTGTAAGTATATTTCAGATTGAGGAGCGAAGCCATACATAGCTGAGCATGCATCTGTCCACAAACCCTTCTCAACCTCCCCATTCCCTCTTCCCTTTCCAATGTTCAAATCAGAGCTGCTCTGTTGACAACTGTAGGATGCAGGTAAGTAACTCTGGGCTGCTTAGTTTTGTGTCCATTGGTGTTCCCATTTCGCCTTTCTGAAACAGAAACATGCAATGAATATGAAAGATTAGAAAGGATTTCTCTATATTTAACCCGTGGGCTGAGTTGGGAAGGTGGAAGATGAGGCTGAGCCTGGTTCTCTTTTAGTCTTCATTATGGGCAAGTTGTCTCTTTCCCAAGAGATCTGGATGGTTTACTATTTGGGAGTCTTTTGACTGACTGCAGATAAATTAATTTGCTGCTGTACTTCTTGCAAAAAGGCTGCATGATATAGGCTATATGACTACAGATGCCTTTAAATTGTGAGAGTTTTTTTTTTTTAAAGTAGAGGACTATTAAAATGAAAGTATATGGGACAGTCCTCAGCTGGCATAAATCCATATAATTTGAACTTCAAAAATTTGACCTGTTCCTGTCTTTGTGTGTTGGAGCATGCCTGGATGAAGGAACAGGAGTGTCTCATTTCTGTGCTGAGAAGAGGCAAAAAACCCACCAACCCAGCCCACAAAGAAACACATGCTGCTTTACTTATTTTACCTTGTTCCATTTGATTCAGGTTATCCGAAAGGCCACATGTTTTCATTCTTTGTATTTTGCCCCAGAACAATCATGGAGTTCCTCTCAGTTTTCCTCAGCTCTGAAGACATAGTATCTGGCCTTAACAAATGGAAAAATACAATTAAAGTTGACCGTGGTCAGAACACGCAGCTGTGTTTTTAGCGTTAATATGCTGTGCGTATGTACCCAACATCCAAGCTGCACCCAAAACAGCTTCCCCCTCTCCAGACTGAAATTCCAAAACAGATGCTGTCCAAATATTTGTGTCAGCATCCAAAAAAGAGAAAGCTACAAAACGCAGCACTTGGCATGGAGTCACAAGGTAATGGATGGACACAAACATCATTTTGTTGAGAGCAATTAGTATTTTCTGCCTAGCTGGAAGCAAGGGGAAGAAACTGGTGGGTGAATGTTACAGGAAAGTTAAAAATTCTGGCCTGAAGTACTAAGTAGGAAATGAGATGTTTTGAAGAACAACACTAAGCTAGCTGCTGTGGACTGTCTCCAGCTTAATTTTTTGTTCATTATTTATTACATATGATTGAAATAAGTGTAATGCATCCTGTTTGACTGTAATGGTTTAGTTAACTCAGGTCTCCAGGACTTATGAAAGACAAACCTTTTGGAACACTTCTTAAAAATAGTTGATGTTTAAGAAAGAAATCTGCAATTTTGTGGTTTTTTAATGCAATATTTCAAAGCTATTTATAGAAAATAAATAAGTAATAGCTATTGACTTCAAATCTTTGAGCTGAAAAATTTTTCAGCTCAAAGTCCTGACTGATGTGGTGCAGACTATTTTGCCAGCTACTAATTTGTTTTTTTAAAATTTAAACATTGTATGGGGTTTTTGTTGTTGTTCAGCTCTTAATTCTTTTACAGTGGAATGGTCAAACTTCTGCATTGATGTTATTCTTTAATTCTTTATTTGCATCTCAACCCTGAGCACAGAGATCTCGCTTGCTAGTAACTTCCCATGTGAAGAGCAGCGTGTTCAGACCTGGGTCTGAGGCTCTAGGGCCCTTTTCAGCCTTTGCTATGCAATACTTAAGATGGCGTTTTGTAATGTTAGAATTTCACTGTCTCTCCTAACTTACTTCACCCTAACCACAAAGTAGTCATTACAGAGCAGCAAGATTTTGTTGGCTGTCAAACTGAAACTAGCATCCTCACCATGAAAGATACCATAATTTGAGGTTAGCTTATTCCCACACAGCTATATTAAAGCTGCAACTCCCACAGATACACAAGTGCGTGTGTCTGCATAGGAATGCCAGGCTGGGACTGCCCAAAGCTTCCCAAATTAGATACTGCCCTGGAAAGGGGTTGGGGATAGCATCAGGAAAAGTTTCTGAGCACATTTCATTGAGATGGCTGTCTCTGTATCTCTGCCAGGGCTGGAACAACTGCTGGGCCAGTCTGCTACCCAGCAGCAGTCACAGCAAGTAGCGGAAGACTGTGTCTCATCTATTTGTCCCCAAAGGGAGCTCGGGAAAGTAAGGAAAAACGATATGAAGGCGCTAATGCGCTCCTCCTTGACCCTGGATTTTTGGAGATCATTTGTAACGCCCTTCTAGCCATAGACAGCTTCATGCACTTTATGATGTCAGATGAAGCGCCAGCGTAGAGGCAATAAATTGATCAAGGTAGGCTCCTGCAGAATTTGCACCCCAGCTTTCAAAGGCCAGGCTAGATTCTTTCCTTACAGTTCAAAGCAGCATCAGACTGTAATTGTTTAATGAGGGCAAGTATTTGACCCTATGATGCTCCACTATCATTTCAGAACAGTTTTCTGTGACTAAAACCAGTCACAGTGGAAAAGCAAAAAGTTCTTGTCTTGGCGGTCATTTGAGCTGGAAGTAAGTTCCTTCCTCTTTGCGGAAGGATCATTCTGCAATGATTTGGGAAGAAATCTACTTTTCCTGCCATAGGTCAGATCCAGGTCCATGTGCTGCTTAAGTTCATAGCACCATGATCAAGTCATTCATCAGCCTGTTTTGGCCCTTTGCACAAAGTAAGATGTTGCTTTGCAGGAGTAAATGTACTAGAAGGAAGGAGAAAATGAAATGAAAACCTGAGCCTGTTTAGAACAATGTATGACAAACCACCGAGTCTTGTGCCAGTATGTTTACCTTGGCAGGCCCCCCTCTCTCCTGCTGGAAGAACCAAGTTCTCTCTCTACTATGAGTATTTTTTTTTTTTTTTTTTTTTTTGACATCCACAAAAGAAGAAAGAAAAGAAAAACAAAACAGCCCTGGAGCAGATCATTCATCACACACAGGGTAGGAGCATGAAAAGGGATTTGCTTTGACCCAGTTAAAAAAACAAAACCAAAGAGTCTTTTTCTAATTGCCCGAATGACTCAAGTGGGACTGGGTGTCAAAAACAACAAATCTCTGCTTCCTTCAGAGCTGTATGTTAATACAGGGCACCAGGCTCCAACCTGTTCCAGTTCAAGACCTTGGGAGATGTCTCTGAGCCCAAGGAAGCCCGTGTAAGCAGAAGCCAGCCAATTCCATATGCCTGCATTTACAAACAGGACCAGGAGCCAGGACAAACATGTTTCATAAATCGTAACAAAGACAGTGGCTTTGAATGCTGAGAGTATCAAGGCTTCAATGTTTGCTTTGCCAAAGCCACAGACAAGTGAGACTTTCTTGCTTTACTACTCTGGTATCGCTGTAGGAAGGGCTTGGCTTTTTGTCCAGCAGCATTTGCAGGGCTGTCATTGATCCACCAAGCCTACCTTTTTATTTCAAAGGAGCCTAAGGGCAACTATGTATCCAAAATGCCATAGGAGTAAGGGGCCCCGCTTTTCCAGGCACCGGAGAAAAGCCCAGTGTCAGTGCATTGCTATTGCAGGGTGTGGGGTAAAAAGAGCAAAAGCAAATACAGATAGGGCTGGGGAGTAAGAGCTAGGAAGCAGAAGAGGAAATGGAGGGAGATAAGGGCTATGAGTAGAGGCAAGGGGTTTATGTAGATATATGGGAGAAGAAAGTTAGTGAAATAAAAGGGAAGGCCATTCATCAGCTACAGAAAGCACCCTGGAGAAATCAGCGTACAAGATCTCTGGGGCTGCCCAGTTACAGCCAGGTAAAAAAAAATCATTCTTTTGGCATCTCATCATACAGCATTTCCATGACAGTAGTACCTGCCCAGTATACGTGTCAAAGTAGCACTGTTAGGAGCTATTGGGCTGGTCCTTCACTGAAAGTACATTGATTTAGCCAGCTGAGGACCTAGCCTGCAATTCTCACGCAGGGAGCACTGGCAGTGTCCTCAGTGCTGCAGAGAAAGGGTCAAGCGGGAGGTTACAGAGACAGGACTTTTCTGAAGCCCAAATAAAGTCCTGGTTCTGTTCAGGTTTAGAGGGAAGGTTCACAAGCATTTTTATTTTTTCCCCAGCTGGTTCACCATCTATTTTAGATGGAACTGTTTGATCTCTTTCTGCTTTGTGTTTCTTTCAGTTTCCCAAACAATAGGAGGAAACTCACTTGTTACGTGTGCTTGGGCCCCAACCAAGCTTTTCCCAGCTGGAAAAATCAGTCCATGAACTTCAGAGGGGTTTTTTTCCAGCTGTAATTACAAAATTCCCAGTTCCCTTATGCATTTCTTAAGGTAGGTACAGGCTGTCTAAGGGGAACAATGAGACATTCCTGAGTGCTTAAACAACTGCTGTGTCCTCACCATCACCTCCTCTAAAACCTGAGGGCTTAAGCATATTTGAGCTGTTTCGCTCAAAGTTACTGAGACCTCAGCTGAAAAAACACAGGGAGGTGCACAGCTCCACGTAATGCTCCTGCTTTGGCGAGTAAGATACCCAGGCTCTTCCTGTTACCTGATTACAAACACCCCAAATTCACCAGACCAGCTGGGAGGACTTGGCAAGCACACAGGTAATACCTGTGCAAGGGGTAGCTGGCAGCACTGGCAGCACTGTCATCACCTCCAACAGACATGTACCACACTGTACAGCTCAGAGGCCAGGCTGTAACTAGCCTGGTAGCCAAACTTGCCCAAGGAACCAGCACGGATCTCTTAATAGAAATGAGACCTCATGCTTGACCCAAATGTTCATCTACAGCAACAAGTCCCACCCATGAGCACACACTCGGCAGACTTCATCTTCCCTTCCTCTGACAGGAAACCTTCCAGCTGATCCTGACCGTCCCATGTCAACGCACATCAGATGCACTATGGGTTACTGTTCCACTGGATGAAAGGTTTGAAGGTAGAGAGAGAAAAGCATTAACCTTGGCTGTAACGCTTAGGAGGGAGCAGAAAGACAAATAATTAGGTTATAGAATGGCTCTGGCTAATTGTCGACATCAGCTGTTGGGGATAAGCATCTTTTTTTTATAGACTCTAATGTTTCCATTTTTCTCACAGGTAACGTTACCCAGTTGGGATCTTAGAGCACCTGGGCACTAAGGAAGCAAATGGCTGTGCTGGTCAGGACCACCATACGCAATGGAGAGAAGGTAAGGAAGGGTCTTCTCTGGCCAGCAACAACCAGAGGTAAATCTCCCACCACCTCCTCCCAACACTAAGTGAAAATCTCTCATAGCTCTGCCTTACCTGTACAACTGTGGGCAGGATCTCTTCAGAGCAGCAGAGGACAGCCCCAGCTTGTTCTGGTTTTTCAGCCGTGTCTTCCTCATAAGATCTCTCATTCTCCCCCACGGATGGCTCTCACCCTAGGGAGCAAAAAGAAACCACATCTCGAAGGACCAGAGGCTAGATGCTGGCAGATATTATCTAGCCAACATATGATACTTTGGGGTACTCCAGAGTGGTAGGAAGAGGGGAGCTTCTTTATTTTGGACAGATAAGAGCCAGGTCCCACAAAAGAATTTTTAACACCCTGCAATGATGCTCAGTGGCCAGCCTCTACCTGTATAGGACACAGCGAGACAGGATGGATCAACTGTCAGTAATACCATCCTCTGTATTTTGCTTGGTAACATTTCTGTGTCTAGGACCCTGCTGTTCTTTCTCCCTTAAGGTTTCAGAGAGTGAGGGTGCTTCACTGGTGGGTCCTGAGTAGCTGCCTAAAGGCACGTTTTACCTTATTGTTATACTGTACTAAAGGAAAGGATCAGTTTGGTTTCCTACCTACTCACATGCACCCAGGGGGACGTTTACAACAAAAACAACCCCAAAAAGAAGCTTGACTCCCTTCTCCTTTCTGTTAGGCCAGGTGCATCGTATCAGCCCTTTTCAATGCAGTGACTTTTGCAGACTTGAATTAGAAGAGATCAAGCCTTTGTTTCCCTGTCACGTCCACAAGCCACAGCTATTGGGCACTTACATTTGAAATGCTAATAGAGATTATCAGGAGGTCAGAGAGTCTCATGAGGCTCTCCCTAATGTTTGTTCTCTCCAGGCTGGGCTCATGAACTGAAAAGGAGCAATGCATCAAAAAAAATCATGGTTTTTTGATACATTGTTTTAAATTTCCTAAAGTAATGGCTGGAAAACCTTGGGATTAGAACAAAAAAAAAAAAAATAAATCATGCCCCAGGACTAGTGTAATGGGGAGAAACGATTCAGTGAAGTTCTCAAACCATAGTCACGCTCGGGGTATTGTTCTTCTGCCCTGTCCCGAGGTGCCTTCCCGCTGTGCCACCAGCAGAGCCATTACTCCATGACTTGTGGCCACCTTGGGAGCACAACCTGGCGTCTGCCCAGCCACATGCACCAGCCCAGGCAGAGCCTGTTGTGGTAATTCTTCTTGGGGCTCTGCTAAGTTTTCAGTTCAAAACTTCAGATGAGGTCATGGGCTCAGCTGAAAACTGCAACAGTGGTTTTTGTGCTATTGAGTTAATTGCTCATAAGTGAGACTGTTTACTCATGCAAATATCAAACCTTTGTGTTTACTATTAGGATTAACGTACGCTGTGGAAGGGTTTTGGAAGCCTCGGCAGTTAGTCCCTCATTGTGCTGGTGCTGTCCCAAAAAAACAAGCACTGCTAATATCGTAGAAAGCCTAAGCAGTTTCCCATTCCTGAAGGCTAGCTAGCTGTTGTCTGCAATGGAGGTGGGAGAACAACGGACCACATGCAGTAAGTCATAATACATGTGTGTCTGTTACTTCGATAGTAAACTTCAGGGGTTAGTGAACCTCTTTTGTTCATGTATAATGCTGTGCACTACAGGGGCTAGGTCTGTGATAATGCAGGTACAAGTTAAATATATTCTGCAAAGGCAGTACATACCGAGATGTTCTTGCTGATGTCCAGACCCTAAAAACAAAAGGCAAATACATTGATAAATAACAAGACAGCGAGACCATCTCACAGTGCTGGGAACAGATTGGGCTCTGTTCTCAGCTCTGCCCTGAAGTTCACCTATAGCCTTTGTCAAGTCCTTTATCTCTTTACAATTCAGTTCCTTGCATGTGTGATAATCCCTTCTTTCCTCCTCCACCTCTCACCTCTCTTGTATTTAGACTGCCAGTTCATGTGTATAGGACCTAGTAGCCTGGGGACTGGTGTAGCAGGATTCCCATACAGTACCTGCACTGCAGAAGTAAATACGGCATTTCATGCTCAAGGTACAAAATGCAACACTAAGTGACAACACTAAGGTGTGGTGTAACAAGAGAGCACAAGGATTCAGTTTAAAGAGTGTGGATCTTGATTCCACAGCCCTGTGAAGTCATCAGGGCTTCCCATGTGCTTAAGATAATGCTCATACTCCAGAAGATGGCTGGACACAAGCATCAGGGCATCAGGCACAGGGCATCTTTAAAGATTCAGCCTTGATTTGGTTTCTGAAGTTCATTGAAGCATTTGCAACCTGTTTGCAACTTTGAGGTGGAAATTTCATTAGGTCTTTCCCATGAGAGACCTACTCTTTCCTCTTTCCTGTCGGGCTGGGAATACTCTGATTAGAGCCTCTGCCCTGGCATTTCAGCACTTCTGATCCCCACTGGAACCTGAAAGCGCTGAGGCAGCCACAAACAATGGGAAAGAAAGGGAGAGGAAAAGCATTCGTCCTGGCTCCCTTGGACTTCAGCGACGCTGTTTCCCTGAAATATACTTTGGGAACTGGAGCTAATTACACTGACATGCTATCAGTCTGGTAGTAAGTGCTGCCAGCTAAGGACTAACCCGCTAAAATTTTTATATGTGGTAATGAATACATGCTTGGTTTAATCTCGCTAGCAGCAATAGTGAAGATGCTTATGACAGAGTACATGTGTTGAGTTATCTCGAGTTAGCGAAGACTAAAGCCCATGCTGCTGTCTGCAGTGCTCCTCTCCCCTGCACTAGCGCTCTGTTTGTACCTTTCTTGGCATAAAGACATAGCCACTGTCTTCATTTAAGGCTGGGAGCAGAGAGGCACTGAGCACCCTGGCCTTCACTGCCCCAGCCCTGTTCAGTAGCAGACAGAGTTGGCTCGTTCTCCCAGCACCCCAGTCTGATCTGCCTGAGCGTAACTTCTCCAGGCTTCTCCCACAGGTCCCACTCAGAGTCTGGCTCCAAGGCTAATACTCACCTTTCTTACTGCAGGGTCCTTTGATGGAAAAGCCTGCCCTTCAGCCATACTACCAGCTTCTCTGAACTCATTCTCCTTGTTGTTCCTATTGTTTGACGACTTCCTGAGCCCCACCATCGGCTGGCTGTTTCCTGATTCCGGGTATCTCTCACTTCCTGCAATGAAATGCAAGGACTTGCTCACATTTCTCAGCATGTCCTGCTAGGACGACCTCTGAGCAGTGCTGCCAGCAATCTGCGACTCCAGATGGGATGAGAACCCTAAGGACTTAATAATGGGATGAGACCCCATGTGTCTTCATGCCACACTGCAGTGGAAAGTAAATGCTCAAATAAAGTGTCTGACGATGGCAGGACTTTCTAACGGCTTCCTCATGGTCTTTTCCTTCCAGGCCTGCTCTGCCAGGAAAGAGAACTTCTGAGCCTCAGCACTAGAGATCCCAAAGACCCTTTACATTCTGACTCAATCCTGCTAGGAGGTGTGCTGATGTTCTGTGTTTCACCAGGTATTAGAGGCAGGCTAAAGTCCAAGGTTTCAAATAAACTAATATCAGCCTCACTTAGTGGGCTGGTTCACATCTAACATTGGATCCAGACTTTTCAGCTGGCTTTATCATCGGTAGGCTGAGCCCAGTCTTTCTCAGTCTTCTGGAAAAGTTGGTCTCTAGATCCAAGCCTTGTAACTGGGGCTTATTTCCACTCGGTCTATAGAATAAGTCATCCTCCAGGAACGTGTTCTGTGCCTGCTTGAGAGGGTAGGAAACTAACAACAGGCATAAGGCTTTCCATCTTAGATCAAATCCTACTTTGGCTGGGGGGATTTTAAAGCCACATGGAGAGGCTCCACTAATGGACCCATTCAGGCATGCTAAGTTTCCAACAGAGAGACCCATTTTATAATGCATTTGTCCTAATCTTTGTAGCCACAGCTGCAGAGCAAAAAGTTCTGATTCACACATGTGAAGCAGCAAGTGTTAAAATCCTAGGTGTAGACAAAGCATTTTAAAACACATCTCTTAGATTTCCAGCTAAGGTTTAGTTCCACTAACACCTTGCTCTGTTCTCATCTGCATTTCCTAGGGAAAAGGAAGTTGCTGGTCAGCTTATTTCACCAACTGGTGGCAAGCAGGAGGGTAGGTTAGAAGTATTTGAACTCACCATTGCAGCTGCTCAGCTTTTCAGCATTCACTCCTATTTCTGGGATGATGGAAAGATCAGAAGGATTTCCAGTCTGAACCAAGAGGCTGTGAGGTCTGCTCCTTCCAGCAAAAAATGTCTTCACGTCTTGGTACGAGTTGAGGAAGACACTGGCAGCTCCACAGGAGCAATGCTGCAGAAGGTACTCCTACACCAGACAAAAAGAAATTATGCAGACTCTCAGGCTGCAACGGCCCAAGGTAACCGGGCGATATGATGGTACAGACAAATTGCAATCATTCCAGCCCAGGGATGCCAAGCCTTGTCCTGAGACCCATCAGAACCCAGACAAATTATTTAATTCTCTCAAAGGCTGAGCAGCCTGGAGTTGGTAATATAGATTTTTCATGGGTCATTGATGTTTAACTTAAATTGCCTGGTACTCAGCACTTTTTGGGTTTGTTTCCCAGAAGGAATTGAATACAAGTTTCTAAATACAGAGCTGCTCAGCTAAGGCATTTGTGTAAACAAACAGATGTGTTATAACAGTGACTTGCATTTTAAGATAATGTTATTTGGTTTGGAATGCACACAGACAACAATATCTTGTTTTTTTTATTGATGGGATGCCATAGTTCACTTGCATGTTACCAGTCAGATTCACTGAATGTGTTACTTCAGCTGGTGTACTTCTGCTGTAGCTGGTGTGGTGGGGAGATTTTCTACCTTGCACAACCATGTTGCACAAGAGTTTAGTAGGGCAGGAAGCAAGGAGAGCTTTATCCAGCTGAAGCGGAAAGGGAACCAAGCTGTCTAGTGGTGTTGGAACCAGGACAGGCCAACATCAGTTTAGCACCTCTAGAGACCCCCAAGCGATTGACCTCATGTAGATATGTTGCCACAGCAGCATGGCACTTTGCATTACCTATACATTTGGGAGGTGCTTTGAAAATCTGATGAAAGATGCTGCTTTTGACCCACAGCATTAAAGATTTCCTTGTAAAGCAAAGGCTGTAGAATAACTGCGTTCCCTTTGTGTCCCAGGATAGAAATGCCATCAGTCTCTGTGGCGATGTCTGTACAGCTCTCAGGAACAGCATTGGGAGCACTGGCTATCTACAGTCCTCATAAGCAGCTCTTAATACCACACTAGCCCATCTCCTCTGGGGATTGTGTCTTCCCTAGCTGTGTCTGGGGCATGGAAACCTTTCCATGCTCATAGTCTGCATGGAGAGCGAACATGGTTTGGAAAGTAGCCTTAGAATGCTCTCCAAAATGCAATGTGAACTGCAGCCTCCACGTCTCATGGCAAATGGGAGTAGTAGTCTTCCTCTTCTACACAGAGAGGCTGTGACGACTCTGAAGAGGAAAATGACGGAGAGCTGCTCAGATATAGGAGATGCAGGAACAAGAGAGATACCTGAGAGAGAGCACGCAGTTTTGTAGAGCACAGTTGCAAGTGCTGAATGTTACATCTGGGGGGTCCAGTTCCCCACTGAACAGTATGGGATGAATGTGGCTGAGAGATCTTGGAAAATACCAAAAAGATCAAAGTTTCAAATATTTAAGTGAAAGCACAGTGCCTTTCATTTCAGTGGGAGCCAGGGAGGAGGGGACACATATACCAGATGAGGATTTGACCTTGAATTTGCAGCTTGGAAGAGTTACTTTGAGTAATGACTCACAGTTGTAAAGCTTCAGGAAATGTGTTAACAATTCCCAGGCTCTATGTAGGAGGCTGCATTCCTCTGAGCGTGAGAGATGGGTACGTGGAAATGACCGGCTACTCTGCTCGCAACCTGACTCACAACTTGGCTTTGGCTCTGAGGAGGAGTCAGTCACCTACTGCAGATCCAGTCCCAGCAGGTGAGAGCAGCACCAGGGGAGAAATGACGCTGTCAGGAGAATAAAAGACTCACCACAGCATGGCTATGAAGAAATAGCTGAGTGTGACAAACCTCTTCTGTTCCTTTGGGGAGTGATAAAATAAATAGAAAGGGAGGGGAGGAAAAAAGCTGGAAACGTGGTGCGATGGCCAAAGAAAAAGAACCGAGAAGCAGAGGTGGGGTAGAGCTAAACAAAATATGCAGGAGCTAAAAAAATGCTGTTTAGGGGGACACTGAAATTATTTGCAAATTTCAGTCAAATTCCCCTGCTAGCTCTGGCTTATAAAAAAAGACAAATGGGAACACTAAGATGTTTCATGTCACAGATTCTTCATTTGGCAGCTCACAAGCGCTAAGAGAGCATGGAGTTGGGTAGTGGTACCACTGCTTCTCTTTCCCACTGTGTCTGTTTTGTGGAAAATTCTGGGATTTTGACAGTCTGAAACCAGAAGGAAAAGAAAGAGCTTTTAATTCAAAACACAATTGCTAAGGAGGTCCATGAAAATGTTTTGTTTTGATAGCACTGACAGGGGGAGATGTGCTCTTGGGGAAGTTTTCAGCTGTAGAGAAGTAAAAGCTACTGACTTCAAGCTGGCCATCACATGAGGTGAGAGGGATGCTTTTTAACTGAACAGAAGCAAGCACATCTGGGAGACAAATCTGAACAAGAACAGAAACCCAAGCCCACCCTGTGGTGGGCAAGGGCTTCCTGAAGACCAGAGCACCCAGCCCAGGTGGGTATGGGGTCAAGTGAATTAGCATCTTCCCTCACACAGACTTGGAACTTTCCATCTGGGCCTTGAGTATGTAACGTAACGGAAGATACTAGAATGTCTGCTTACCTCTTTTATCTGGCTCATCTTCTGCTCTTTCTGCAAGCTGCACACTTGCTTTTGGAGACGCAGGTTGTGCTCCTGCAGCTGCCCAATCTTCTCAATCAGTTGGCAAATGTGTTCCAGGTATCCCAGACCAGATCCCAGGGCTTTGCTGTTACCTTGGTTCGCCTGCAATGACAATGCATCTTGCACCATGGAATAACAGCAGAGCAATCCTTACTAGCAGTTGGGAGCTCAGCACACTCCTTACAGTTGTGTGGGCCATGGCAAAGACACTCAGGCTTCCTCTTGCAGGGGGCTTTGGTTATAGCCAGATCTGAGCTACAGCATTGCTTTGCTTGCTCACAGATCTTTTCTGGATTACTCAGCAAGATGCGCCATCGGAGGGACTATTCTGACTGAGCACAGGCTGACGCAGTGGAAAACTTTGTGACAGCCTGTTTCTAGTTCCACCTCTCAGGCTAGTTTTTGTCTTTTACTGGCCACAGGACCCTTACAAACCAATATAGTTCTACTGTATGGTATAGATGGCTGGGGTTAGTATGGCTCACTTAGCCCATAGCCCTCAGTGCAAGTCGCACTTAATGTATACCGAGGCTGAGCTTGGCTCCTACCCAAAGGCACATATCTGCAGGTTGCAGTGATTTGCTGCTTTGTGACCATCTTGAGGGTACATTTTGTCTACCTTTGGCAATCTGCAACTATTACAGCACAGCTGAACTCAGACCCTCATCACTGGCGGGTGAATGAGAGGGACGTGTGCCTGAACCAAGCTGCCAAAACGAAAGAATGTCTTTCTGCTGGTTTTTGGCAGATCCCAGCATATGTCCCTGCTACTACTTTCTCAGTCATTAAGAGATGCCTGAAGAAAGTCTGCAGGATCAAGCTTGCTGTCTGGCTATGGGAGGATATTCTGTACCACTGGTCTCTTCACACCCAGGACCTGCAGAGGCTCACTGCTGCTCAGCCGAGGGCAGTGCCAGAGACAGACGGTAATCCTGTGGCAGAGGAAAGGCAATGGTGGTTCCCAGCCTCCTGCTCTGCACCTCGCCGTTTCTGGCCTCAGGACTTCCCCGGGCACAGCACTTGTCCCCTCCTGTGCCGTGAGCGGACTCTGCCGAATGTGCTGCTAACAAATACATGCAGAGACTCACTTCCACCTTGGCGCTGCCTGTTGATGTGCATGTGATATCAGTAAGTAAAATAAGCCTCGATCTTTACAAAAGCAGCACTCTAAGTTTATCTTACTTCAAAAAATAAGTTCCCTCTACAAAAGCAGGAAGCTTACTCTGTCTCCTTTCCCACAACAATCTACATTTTTGGGGAAATGCCAGCCTTGGGACTCTTCCTGTCTTTTCATTATGTCAGAAAGCTCATGGCGTGTTCAAAAATAATCAACATTAGGATTTACTTCTTTTTAAACAAATGATGATACAATGTTATTTATAAACAGGTATTATTATGTCCAGATGCTTTTGTGTCTGAGTTTGGGACAGAGGTCACATGAAATCGTATGAAAAACTGTGGTGACTCCAAACCAACCAGTCATTCAGATTCATGATTTTTATTTTCCTCTCAGGCAGAGCCTGCAGAAGTGGTGGCATGACAAAGGTTACTCAGCCATAAAACTGAGTCCTTAGCGTGTCTGTGCACTAGGAAGGGGCGCAGCCCCCCCCCCAGAACCTGCAGGGAGAACAAAGCCTACGTGGTGTCTGCTGGGAAAAGCTTGAATCAAAAGCACTAAAACCAACATATCTGAGAGCAGCTAGGGATTTAGGGGTGCTGAGCTTCAGAAGCATGATTTTCAGAAAGTACATGAGTATCAGCTTCTGAAAATCTGGCTCTTTTCAGCTGTCCCCAAATGAGTAGCCATTTTTTTTATGCTGTCCCAAAATGGGTAGTCAGAAGTTTATCGTTATCCTTGAAAATGTAGGCTTTCTGCCACTCTGTACCCTCTTTTAATACATTTAACACCTTGCCTTTCTGCCAGTTTGCTGTTGCAGTGACTGATGGCATGTCTGTATTGCCCTAAGGAGACAGTGAGCCAAACCCAACCTGTTATAGCTGTAGAAACATAAAGAAAGACTCTAAGGGACGGAGGAGCTCTTGGAAAAGAGGATAAAGTAAAATGTTTGGCTGTAACATCAGGAGTGGGGAGAAAGCATGAAGCATTTGACTGTGATCTCTTTCAGTTAGAGACATTCTTTTTGTTCATATTTGTCCTTATTGTGCTTAATATTGTAAGGTCCTGCTTCGTGTTCACAGCTGCTAGACAAAACGGGCAGGGGGTGGAGAAGGCGGCCCTGACTTCCAGGGCTCTGTGTCTAGCGCTGAAGGCACTTAAAAGCAAAGGTGTGTTTGGGGCAGGCATGGAGAAACTCTGGCTTTTAGCAAAAGTTAGAGAGAACTTCCAAATCCTGAGAATAAACACAGGTCCCCAGAAAATGAGAGGGAAAAGGTGCAGAGCAGGTGCTCCAGGTCTCGGGCCAAGGTGGATTTACCCCTGCAGAGGACCTAAACCACACTAAAGGTTGGACTCAATATGCTGGAGGCCTCTGTTTCACGGCCATCCTTCAGAGGCTGCTCAGGGCAGGCAGTTTGGGCTATTTAGTAGGAAATTAATTTGCATTTTACTGAAGTGATCCCAGCAAGTGCAAATGAGCGAAGGGCAAATCAGGCAGAGCCTCCAGTGCCTGCCCATCCCTGCAGGCCAGACACACCTGTGGTCAGCACGCAAGGGTAAAAGCTTTTAAGAGGGATGCTTCACCTTCCTTGCCCCGCCACAAGGCCATTAGCATCAGGATTGCTCAGATATGGCAGGCATTCAATACAGAAAAGTTATTTAATTTAGCTGGTTGCCCCCAAAACAATTGATCAGAGAGGGCCTCTCTAGGGACTCTTCCAGGACCTTCTTTTCCATAGACTGGAAATAACTAAACAGCCTTCGCTATCTTCTGGTCATGCCAAGTGGAGCGTAGATCCTGCTTTGTCACATTCTGGTCTAAATATTTTCCTGTCAGCACCTGTGATAGTTTTATGCTAGCAGTGGAGGGTGAGCAACTATAGGAAAACTGCAAACATTTTCCAGGATGAGTCTCTTCCAGTGTCTGTCCTCCCAGCTGAAGCTTCCCAAAACATTCATCTAACGCGACTGAAATTTTTCCCATTCCCCACATGGAGATTGTCAGATAGTACTGGAACAAAAGCCATGTGGCCATTTTTGAGTTGATGAAACCTATGAAGAAGGAAAAACGTCTCACCTACTTTTTTGAAGGTGTAGGTGCAGAGGATCAGACAGATGCAATTTATGAGTCAGCTGGTTAAAGTTGCACTAGGAAAGTAACAATATAATGTATAAATAGGTGCCAGATTTTGCTTTCAGGTACATCAGACTCAGCCAGACCCTCAGCTGGAAGAAAAGGAAATCAAGACTCTCAGTATACTCTGCTGAGTTAGTCCCATTACGGATTTGACCCTGCAGAGTTAAGGTGCGCTACACTGACTTTACACCCATGTAACTAAAAAGAGATCTCTGCCCTTGCAAGTGCTCACCTGACTAAGTTTTGGGGACAGGTTTTCAGTACATGTATCCCTGCTCAGCTGGCAATAAACCATCACAGTTGTGCTGCCCCACAGATTTAGGAAGCTTAAAAATATAGGATCAGCATCTGCACTGGGAGCTTTGGCTTATCTAGAACCCTCTAGCCAATCTTTTGACTGGTGTAAAATCACATTTTTCCTCTGAAGCCACCAGAGCCACAGAGGTGGGAGCCTGTCCCTCTGTGGATGTGTAACATTGGGCTCTCTGCAGCATCTGAGCACTACAAAGGTTTGAAGTTCAGTGGGAGCTGCAAGACAGACGGTTGTTTTCAAGCCTCTTGTCCAATTCAGGTATAATAAAAATCTGCATTTCTGATCATCTTATCAGCACTTTGTCCTCCCTCATTTCAGCCTTTATCTGTTACTTTGATGCATGCAATGAAATTTTCTTCAACTGGGTTCAATGGAAAACTGTCCTGGGCTGGACCTGACAGCAGGAGCTGAAGCTTACGGGCAGGACTAGCTTCCAGGTGAAGTTGCTTTTCATTCAGATAGGAACTCACTGATGTTTCTTGCACTGACTTTGGTTTCTGCGCTTCATGCAATGCTCTTCACTTTCTTTTGTGGATAGTTTTGAGTTATACTATGCTCCCTCCTCCCGTAGAACCCTCACTGCCTGCTCCCACCCCATTAGCATGGCCCGTATGGAGGCAGTACCCTCACTGTGCCGACAGCCAAGGAACGTAATTACAAACCTCCCATCATGGGCTTGGAGGAACTGATTAGTGACGCCACTGGCTGAGTGGGAAGCATTTGTCACTGGAAGCTGACGGCACCAAAAGCCTTGTGAATAACAGGAAAGAGAGGGATCGTGCTGTATATTTCTGACAGCTCCACCCTGCTATCCAGGAGGGGCTGCGCTTGCTGATAGCTTCTGGTTTCCTCTGAGCGGCACGCACAAGCTACGGGGCTGACCATCACAGGTTGCCCTATCCTTCCACTGAACCGTACCACTCTGTGCAGAGAAGTATTTTGACTGCTTTAGCTCAAGATAATTAGCACTGTGTGAATAATGTTGGGTTTTTTTTTTCATTTAATGACGACAATGCTCCCACCCTCTCTCTTCTTCTAGGGGTATGATTTAAATGTAAACTCTATGGAGCATGAGAAAGTGTTTGCAAAGCAAAAGCATCAAAAGCTAAGTATCTTCAAACTGATCCCAAACGTTTAATTTGGCTTAAAAGGAAATGTCTTTATTTAGGCTTCAAAGTTCTTTCACTTGTTGTTTGACAACTTCCACTTTCTTTCATCTTTCTGAATGTAGGCAAATTTCAAAATAACGACAGTTCAAAACAAAAGATCAGAAAGCTTTGTTTAAGAAATGGCAGACTGAAATGATTTGATGTATATTTTCAGCCAAAGCCATTCATCAAATGAATCCAAAAGGTCAAAATGTGTGGTCGTTTTCAGTCTCTCTTTTTCAGCATTTTCCTTCCTGTTCTCTTGGAAGTGGCCTCAGCAGTGAGGGAGGCCAGGAGGACATCAAGGGACATCCTCATCAAGAGACTGAATCCTTGCTCAGCTGTGGTGTGCTGGCAAGCACAGCACTGTTGGCATTGCCACAGCCAGATGGGCTGGGGAAATTCAACTGCTCTCCTGTTACTTGAAAGTTGTTTTCCCAAAAACAGCAACAGAACTGAGGAAGTTGCTGTTACCTATAATTAAATAATACTCTCACCTGGCATTAAATGTAAGCCAGTGTAAGCACTCCTGCATTTCTATCAACATGAATTTAAAGCAGCAGGAATGTATTCGATGGAACAATTTGGTTTGCCATGTTCTTTGCCAAGCAGAGTGGGAATACCCTGTACTGGCCCGCTATCTTTCAGACAACATTGATTGCATTTCCAGGGGTATCTGAGTCCCTAGGACTACATCAGGACAGACAAGAGATTGGCTCCTTTGGACAGCTTACAGGCAAATGTGAAAACCACAGAGTAACCCTGGAGCAGAGCCTCAGCTGGTGTGAACCAAGGTGCATCCGTCAGTTGTATGGGCAGATGATCACCTGGACACCGTTTCTGAGTGGGTCTCCATCTGTCCTGCCTCTGTTGTATGACAGTGAGGACGGGTCAACCTTGTGCAGGTTTGGTGAGGGCAGAAGGCTTTGCAGCTGCAGGAGGCTGTCCCTGTGCTCTGAGGCACACAGCGCAGCAGCAGCTGCAGGGCTGCACAGCAGCCACGGGCATTTCTTACCCCAGTCAGCTCGGGTGCTACCTGGCATCCCAGCAGTTTGAAGAGAGCTGCTCTTGAGATATAGCAGCCTGGAGGTGCTCTGTGAAGAGGGGCAAACTTCCCCAGCATCTAGGTCACAGCTGTATTTACACAGCTCAAAAAACAAAGAAAGAAAACTCCTCTAGGGCACAGAGCTTTAGCACTTAGCCAGTGAGGATATTAAAAAGGAGAAGAGATAAGCCACCAAGAGCTTCATTTCCTCTTCAGCTTCTTTCTAATTTATTCTCTTGTTTATTTAAATGCCCTGTTTTGGGAAACTAAGACTCCATTTCACAAAGGATTTAAAGGAATTTTGTGGGCAGCCAGAGCTGTCAGACAAGACCAAGCTGGCTGCAAACCCTCCAGAGTATGACAGAGAATTTAGGTAACTTTTTATAAAGTGTCCTTGTGGTCAAACCCTCCTGCTCCAGTCCTTTTTTGAACTCTCTGCCAACAGGTCAGGTTGCTGACTGTTTGGGAAGCGTACAAAATAGACATCTGTCTTCTGCTGTGAGGCAGCTCTGGGGAGGAAGAGGCTGCTCAGCTGGATCGTGTGTTGCTTGTACTGCCTCAATATGCAATGTTAACAGAGACGGGTCATCTCTGACCTTCCTTGCTGCTTGGGAGGGTTTGGCATGCTGGAGAGGAAGGCCATCGACTGATGGTTCAGAGCCTGGGCAGAGAGGTCATGGTGCAATTACATGCACAGCACTTGTCACTTGGCTTCCTCCCACCCATCTCCCATTCCAATTCATGCAATGAAACCCCCCAAAAGAAATTCCCATTATGCAATGCACCCAAAATAAATTCTTATTATGCACTGTTTGATGTTTTTGGTGTGCCTGTGTGACCCCCTTCACCTAGTCTGCCCTTCTTCTTTCCCTTTGCTCATGGGGCTCTTTGGTCTGTCTCTCTGTCAAGAATCATCTCCTCAGACCTTTCCTTTGCTGGTTCATGGAAGCCACTGCAGCAGGCAGACAAGGCAGCAATCTATCTGCATGTCGGCAGCACAGGGCTTCAGGCAAAGCACCCACTATGGGAGAAGGTGCACAGAAGGGATTTTAATTCTCCTGTCAGTGGCACAGTGTACCCAGCAAGGGGGAAAAGAGAGGGTCTGCAGTGGAACAAGCTGCTGAAATTATGTCTTTGCAGTTTGGTTCATCACAGCTGTGCTGGTGAGTTGAAATGAGTTCTCCATCTTCAGCCCAACAAAGATTTGTATTTGTGCGTTAGGTCCCTGCTTGCTCATTATTTGAGAGCTGGCTCAAGAGGACAGGACATGCCTGGACAGAAATGAACCACCCCTTAGACAAGTTCTTTCCAAATTTTGGTGCCCCAACAGCAGTCCAGCTGTTCCCAGGAACAGGAATAACCTGAGCTTGAAAAAGAAACTATGTTCTGATCCCCATCCAATGTATCAGAGGATGATGACTAACTTCACAATCTTCATTTTAAAATCAGAATCAAGTCCATCCTCTAATCTAGGGCTATTTGAAACATCAGAGCTCCATGAGCCATTAGTCATCCTTACCCAGACCCGATATATGTGAATTACTTCAGAATTTCACTGCTACGAAAAGAGCTCTTATGAATCAATTACCATTATTTGCTGCTTCCAACAGTTTCAGGGGAGATTTTCTAACTCACTCAGATGTGTCCTAGTTCGTGACGAACAATAGAGCTTGACCCTTGACTGAGGTATTTGGACAGGCCTAGCTCTAAGATTTAGTTTAAGTGTTTCTTACCTCACTCAGTCTACAGCATTCATCCATGTATTCATCCAGACTGTCGCTTGTGGGGTACTTCTTCAGCTGATGTCCATGGGTCTGAAGGTCTTGCATGCTGCCAGAGTTCTCAGGGAAATTGTCAGCAATTGTCTTTGGCTCTTCTATGGGACCTGTGGTGGGAAAAGTGCTTTCCCTGGGAAGGTCTGTCTCTGGGGTAGGTTCCTTTTCCAGAGATTGCCTTTCACTCTGGTCAAAATGTTCATCAGGACTTTTTTCCTGAGGGACACTGAATTCTTCAAGGGAAGCTGTATGACCCTGCACAGCATCTGCCTCCTGGCTGTAGTACTCAGCTTGCTTTTTGCTCTCTGGATCTTGGTGGCTGACTTTTCTGGCATGCTCTTTACACGTTCTCATTATCAGATGGTCAATTTCTGGAGAAGAAGAGGTGCTAAGCACGCCTGAGTCACAAAATGAGTCTCTGCTATGAAGCACAAAGCTCTTCTCTGAACCCGTAGGCGTTGATGGTGAATTAGCCCCGCTTGGCAATTCAACTCCTGAATCCTCAGATTCAAATTTGGAGAATCTGTGAAGTCGGCACTTGGACTCAAAGGCACTGAGGTCAGGCAGCGTGGCTACACAGTTTGTGCCTGCTGGGGCATCTGTATTGTTTGGATCCACCGATGTGGCTGCTGCATTTGGATTTCCCTGGCAGTCCAGTGGGAGGCTGGCACCAGGGAGATGGGACTCTACTGTGCAGGCTGTGTCAGCTGGAGCCTCTGGGATTAACCCTGGGTTTTGAATTCCTTCATTGCTCAGTATCTTCATATGTGTTAACACAACTTTGTCCTCAGCAGGTGGGCTCTTCTTACCTGCTTAAATGAAAACAAGTAGAAAGTCACAAGGGGCTACAAAACTCAGTGCTAGTGCAACCCCTGAGGGATGTGAAATGTAAAACTGTCTATAGTAAGGTGGCAAAGGGGGACAGCCCTAATTTGTTTTTCTTGAGCTATACGAAGCTTTCTTGTAGGCTTTGCTACAATAGAAGTGTTGTGTTTCATAGCCCTAGCGTCCTTCAGGGGGAGTCATAAATGCAGAGTTCTGATTTAGTAGATAGGTAGAAAAACAACACATGTAGCCAGATACCTTTTTAGTGATTACCTGCGTACAGATGCAGAGAAGTACATGTTCTTTCAGCATGATAGACATTAATTAAAGACTAAAATATTTCCACTGATTAAATGTATTCTGAACCAGCAGGAAAAAGTGTAAAATAAAATCTGCCTTTCTGCAGGCTTAAGTGAATTTTGGGTTGCAACAAGCAATTCTCTGCAGTATTTGCTGCACACATACAGGTGACGAAACGCAAGTACTGATAGGAAAAGCAAACGAGGCACTGTAGATCTTTTTCACTCCCTGTATGGTTTTAGCTATGAAGTAATTTCTTTAAATGAACTCTTACCTTCTTTGTAAAGAGGAAGGAGATGGGGGCACCTTTGTTCATGAGCTTTTTGCACATGGACAAAGACGACTTGTTTTCATATCACAATTATTTCACACGGTAATGTGGTAGAATAGCCTCTGGTTGAAAGGCTCATCTACAGGAGTTGAAGATCTGCCCCAGGTTTTCTTACTGTTTTTCTGAATCTAATATTTCACAGTGCAGACTTATGGTTCATGCAGGTATGAGAGCCAGTGTGAAAGCTCTGCATTCACCCTTTAGCAAACTGCAAATCTCAGCTCCAAATCCATCTATTTGTGGGTTTGGCACCAGGAATTGCTGCAGTACAAAACTTCAGTTTCTCTGGTATCTTTTCCCTTATTAGTGCCTGACCCAGAGCACCTCAGAGGGCTACAATGCATACACTTTTCAGGATATCTTACTTCCTACTTCATTTCCTTTCATTCCCCTCTCCTACTTCCTTCCTTTTTGCCTGACATCAAATCAGCAGCTGCTTCATAAACTCACTCCCAGTAACATAATTATACCTAAGCAGGCAGGGAAGCCTGGGAGCCCCTGTCAGCAGTAGAGCAGGGAGAGCTCCAGAGTGCAGCCTTCCTTTGTGGTAACCCAGAAAACTCCCTGTTTCAGAAATAACCCGTTTTCCAGCCTTCCGTCCTTCAGCTTGCTTTCCGCAATGTCCACAGACAAGGGAGACTTTGACTCATTAGGGCCAAGCTAGCTATTACACGGATCATTTTCTACTTTATTTAAATTTCTTCTATTTGATTGTGAGAATTTCTTGGAATACCACTGAAACATGCCCTTTACAGTTCATAGGCAGCCACAGATCTAATATTTTACACTGGATTTTCATAAAGGCTCTCAGTGATAAATAATCCCATCTGATGGGCTTTTTGTGGCACTTGGGCACATAGTGCTTATAACACTTTATAGAAGATCTTGTTTAGTATATACAGAAATGCAGCTGCCTCCCTTGGCAGGATTCATAGGCATCTCTCCACTGTGAAAAGCCACATTTGGGACAGTCAGTCCCAGACTGTCAACAATGCAACACCAGTACTTTGCTGTGGTGGGGGACAAGAGAAAGACATTGCCCACAGGTATGCCACAGGAAAGCTCATCAGGAGCTGCCTGTGCTGGGCTGGGTAACAGCCCTTCCTCTCTTGGGATGAACATGATGGACCCTGAACTGAGGACAAGGAATAGGGAGCCTGGTTTGCAGCTTCACACACAGCAAAACGCCACCTGCAAGAGGGAGCTTGGTGCCAGGTCCTGGATGGAGGAGGTAGAGCTGAGTCCTTACTGATTTGGAGTGAAGAGGATCTACCTGTTCAGCTGCAAATACCTCTTGGCAGCGAGAGGCAAAGCGTTATTTCTGCATGAAAAATAAAAGGCTAACAGGCTCTTCTGATGGCATCACCACCCCAGATGGCACAACAAAAGCACTGAGAGTCAGGAGGAGAGCAGTTACCAGTTGCATTGCTGTGCTTTCTTTTTGAGAGCAAATCATACAGCTGTCACTCTTACAATGAAATACTATATGCAATGGTAGTTCCTTCCCACAAACTCTGATTGCCTTCACTTATGAATCATGCCATGCTTTCCTTTGACTGGAGATTCTCTCACTGTCTTTCAGTCTGCTCCCTTTTCCTTGCTTAACCGGTTTCGCCCTGGCCTACACAAATATTTCATTGTCTGAAATCAAGAAGCAGCATATTAAAATGAGGTCTTGCTACTTACAGAAGGAGATCTCAGATGCTTTATTTCATATCTTTTATGATGACAAAAGCTACAATATGTACCAGAAAGTTTGGCTGGGTTAGAAAAAAAAAAAAAAGAAATTTCTGACCCTCTGCATGAGGGTCCCCTTGATGCCAACAACTCCAGTGCTGAGAAGGGTCTGTGCTATGGACAACACAGTCCTTTGCTCTCCACGTCCTGTGGTCACTAGCAACATTGCATGGTTTCACAACGATTTATTGTTTACCTGTTCTAGGGTGCAAACCATTGATCTCAGCACTGGTAGGTCCTGGTAACCACAGTGTTTGAGCACTTCTGATTTATCCTCTCAGCCCCTTGCGATGATGCAAAACGTTATCATCCCCTACCGCAAGTTCAGAATAGATGCAAAGGACGGCAGGATTTTGCAACACACTTAGGCACCTCATCCTCATTCATTCAATGATATTTGCCCATGGTCAATGAGGTTGTCATCTGTGCTGCAGCAGAGAGATCTCCCATGATTAAGGCAGTGACCTGAAACTCAAGTTTTCCTTGTTGCATCTCACTGGCAGAACAGTCTCTTCTTCCTCACTGTTAACTGGGTTATGGAACCTAAACCATGGGGCTTCCAACAAGCAGATTGTTTCTGCTATGGATCTTGAAAGAGGCATACAGAAACACTCAGCTCTTTCAAGCATATTGCCAGCAAACACCAGCATGGTGCAATTAAAGCTCATCTGTGCAATTACTCCCAAAAAAAAAAAAAAAAAAAAGTGAGCCAGACCCTCAGCTGCTATAAATTAGCTGATAACCAAGGCCCTTAACAGAATTGTGTTGGCTAATTCTGGCTGAGGATTTGGCCTGTAAGTGCTTTGTACAACAATACCAGGGGCCTACAGCGAAGCAGGGAAGATGGACTCCTGCCTGGTGCTGGAGGGGTACAGCTCCAGTGCTGTGTGGATGCTTCTGAAAAGAGGTGTGAAGAACTTCAGAGAGCTAAACCATGGCACTAAGGTTGGTAAGATGTATTTACTTGTACTGGAGGCCAGCCAGGTTTGGCACTGCTGCTCCTGGGAAATCAGCCAAAACTTTTTTGTTGTTTTTTGTTTCCTTTTCCCTGAACTGGTTTTCCACACTCCTTCTGGGGTGCAGGTAAGGTACCAAAAGATGCTGCTTTCAGGCAGCTGGCTGGCATGCTGGTATGGCAGCAGGGGAGGGAATGGAGTTGTCTGTGTATGCTTAGGAATCAGTATAGCTTGCTGCAGCATCTTCAGCAATGTGTGGCCAGGCCAAACATTGTCTTGGGTTAAACGTGCTACTTGCCTAGTAGCCCTCTCAAAGGGTTATATGGCTCTGTAATGACACTAGAGATAAACAAGGTTCTCTGGTTTGTAATATAAGCCTGTAACTGATGGTGACTGATTACGTGTAACCTTGGGCAAGTTGCTGGACCTCCTGTGCCTGTACAGTCAGAGAATAAGACTGCTTCCCATCTCACAGGGAGGTGGTAACTATAAATTAGCTAATATCTGAAGGTAATTAGTAGGGAGTGAAAGGAATTGATGTGTCCTAGCTAAATCTCTAGAACTTTGCTTGGCTTCATTTCCAAATTGCTTTCTAAGATACTTGTCTGTTGGCAGTTAGCAGACAAGCTTACATCCTTCAAAGGTGAATACACTCCCATCAGCTCCTGTCCCAAGGCTTTCTTTTCCTTGGAGTTTTAAGTCCAAGTGTATTTTTCCTGTTGCACAATAACTAGCAGCTGCCAGGGCACAGCCTAGTGCATTAATACAGAGATTTCTGACCTCAGGAAGGAGGGCGGATATCTAAACATGAAATTGCTTTCAAGCAGTTTCTTTATCCCAAGTAAGTCGCATGCAAGAGATGCACTCAAACAACTGCCCAGGCAAAACTCCTAGGCGTTCCCAGTCCTGTCCAGGCCCAATCCCTGCAAAAGCTCCCACCTTTCTAGTAAACCAAGCCAAAGTCTGTATTCAAATCCCTATGCTCCAAAGCATTGAAATTCAGGTCCAATTTTTTTCTTGCATCTACACCTGTGGCTCAAAGCTGTCTTTCACTGTCAATTCCCTCACTGCAAGTCCCGTTAAGCTCTGCCCTTTCCCTGAGAGGGGTCCTTGGCCTCTGATGCACTGACTCAAGTATCACAGTACGTGGTCTTCTGATGCACCTGGCTAATGGAAGCGCTGGTGGTGGGAAGAGGCCAGGCTGGAAGTGGGATGGGTGCTGCTAGTGGCAATACAGAGCTATACTGTACAGTGCTGCCCTGTGCTGCTCTACTCTCTTTTGGTCTG